ACAGATACCACAGAACAGTCAGGACAGTCACCTCAGGAATCCTGCCTCCCCTCTCCCCTGCCCAGGGAGGGTGGTGGTGATCCCAACACATGGGCCTGGCCTCACTATGTGAGTGACCCACTTAGGTCTCTCCTGGCAGCTTACAGAAGCCTCTGGAAGGAGCCTGGGAGCCATGAGGCAGCTGCTTTGCCCACTGGAGGGAGCTGAGCCTTCCCTTGCAGAAACAGATCAATAGTCTGTGTTTCTGGTGGGTGAACTGGATAAATGAGACTGAACTGACATGGCCTGATGGGTACAAACACAAACCAGAATCCAAACCCAAACCCATAAACAGGAAACAGAAAACCCAGGTACAGGACCCTAAATATTGTCAACCCGCCAAAGGGCCTGGGGAGAACAGCGAGCCTGAAATCTCCTGTTCCCACTCTAGGTAGGGGATGTCTTCTCTCTGGGGTCAGACTGGGATGGATTCGGATGGGAGGAAGACAGGCTAGAATCATCCCACCAACACTTACCCAACACCTACTATGATTCAGGCAATGTCCTAGGCCTCTTGTTAACCTGTTGCCATCGAGTCAATTCTGACTCACAGCAACCCTATAGGACAGAGTAGAACTGCCCTATAGGGTTTCCAAGGAACAGCTGGTGAATCAAACCGCCAACCTTTCGGTTAGCAGCCAGACAGAAAATACTGATAGGAAAGGGTTAAGAAAACGCTTTAATTGTTAAATTAAAATATAACTCTAAAAATATTTTAAAAAAAACAAAAAAAAGAGGCAGACAAGTAAGAACCCAGGTACAAAAAAGAGAGAAAGAACAAAGCAAAACAAATATTCAATAAACTGTACTAATAATTACATTAAGTGTTAACGCACTAAAAAAACCTCAATTAAAAGCAAAACTGAACTTTATGCTGTCTACAAGAGACACATTTTAAATAAAAGAAGAATAAATAAAGATATACTATGTAAAGTGTAAAAGCAGAAGGCTGGAGTAGCTATATTAATGTCTGTTTAAGTGGACTTCAAGACAGAGATAAAGACATTTCATGATGAGTAAGATGCCAATCTATCAGAGGCATAACAATCATAAGTGTGTATTTACCTCACAATGAAGCTTCAAAATACATAAAGGAAATATTTACAAAGCTAATTGGAGAAACAGACAACTGTACAATCATAATTGATTGAAATCTCTCTTTCAGAACTGACAGAACCAGCGGAAAAAATCAATAAGACCTAGATCAGTGGTTGTCAAAGTACAGACTGTGGATCCTGGGGGTGAGGGTGCTCCTAAGACCCTTATCAGGGGTCTGCAAAGTCAAAAGTATTTTCATAAATTCGTATGATGTTATTTTCCTTTTTCACTCAATGTCTTACAAATATACAGTGGAGGTTTACAGAGGCTACATGATGTGTGATGTCACAACAGACTGAAAGCAGAATCCAGCAGTCTTCTATTCAGCCTAACATTAAAAAGATTTGCCAAAAAAAAGTAAAGCAATGCCACTCTACTCACTAACTAAACTTTAGTATAAAAAATATAGTTCTTTTCTTTTCAACTGTACCTTATATGTTAACACTATTGAGTTTATTGTTATTTTTAAATGAAACAACCAGAGAATATACATTCTCTCCAAGTGCATGTGAGCGTATGGGAAGCATACGCTGGGCCATAAAACAAGTCTCAATAAGTTTAAAAGGACGAAGATCATACGGCGTATGTTCTCTTACCACAGTGGAATTTAATAACAAGGTGATACTGAAATCAATAAAACATAGCATCTAGAAAAAAACAAATATATATTTGGAAATTAAACAACACATTCCTAAATAGTGTGGGTAAAGACTTGCTCTCGAGAGAAATTAGAAAATATTTCCAACAGAATGAAAATCAAAATTTGTGGGATGCAGGCTAAAGCAGTGATTAGAGGGAAATTTATAGCTTTGATACATATACACATACATATCCAAACCCAACCCCATGTGAAAGGTCTAAAATCAATGACCTAAGGTTCTGCCTTAAGAAGCTAGAAAAAGAGCAGCAAAGAAATGGCAGCTTGACACCCCCTATTCTCACTAGGATAGGGTGGTACACCTCTGTGGTCAGTCTGGAGTGACCCCTTGTGGGAGGAAGATGTGCCGTGTCTCGAGACTCCTCAAATTGTACCTAGGGTTAATTTCTTCTGAGTCAATTTTTCTATCCCCACTCTCTTATCATGGGAGCCATTGGCAAGCTACAGACCTAGGAGATAGGAGAATTTTCTACTGCCACCCCTCCTCCCAGCCCTAACTCCTATCTAGGGGGGTCAGGAAGTGGCACTGCTAGAGTTCCTCCTGTCCCCATGCTGGCTCAATCAGGAGACTCCCAGCCTAAGTCCTCCCTCTGGTGAGGAAACATTTTGTCCATGTTCACATATTCATTCATTCATACATTCAGCTATTTATTAAATTAGGGAGAAAATAGTGATTAGTATAGTACAGGGATCTTATGACTTACCTCCAGTTGAGATCCAGCCCTACAACTTACAAGCAACCTAGGGCAAGTCACTTGTTCTCTTTGAACCTGTTTTACCATTTGCAAAATAGGGATAGTACAACTATGTACTTCATGCGGTCGTTGTGAGGGTTGAATCGGGTAACGCAAGAAAAAGCGTAGCACAGCGTGGCCCGCAGCAGAGCTCAATCACTGAGAGCCAGTATGCCTACCAGCTTTGGGCAAGATGCTGGCGAGATGGACACAAACCAAGCCCCTATCCTGGAGTTCACAGAGTGCTATCCACTCCCTCCTCAAACTCCCACTGGTCACACTGCACCAGCCTCACCTTGGATCCTCAGGCTCTCTTGATATTGGATAATGAAGTACTCTTGAGTCTGCTGCAGCTTCTTCAGCTCATTCTCTGTGTCCTGTGTGACCAGTCGCAACTCCTCAAATGTCTGGTTGATCTGAAGGTGTTTCTGGGACATGGCATCTACCAGGCTCCCAGCAGGAGAGCTGCACTGGAGACAGATTGGGTGGAGGTAACAGGCAGGCAGTGAGGAGGGAAGAAAACTTCAGGCCTTATGGAATGCCAATACTACAGACCCCAACCTCCAAACCTAGAGTAAGGAAGAAGGGCCATTCGAGTTCAAGGATGTTTAATTGCCAGAATTGGGGTGGAGTATGGAATGAGGGAGGACAGACAAGTGACCTGGCCGACTATGGCACCTTCGTAAAGCATAGTAGAAATTTCTATTTTAGATCTCGCCTTTAACAGAGGTATCCCAAACAGGGTCCATCTAACTCCTTTCACACAGACTAGAGTTCAACATATCCCAGGTGTCACTTGGGTTTTCCTACTAACGATGATGTCCACTCATTCCACATTCATTTGTTGACCCAATGCCAAGAACCATGCTAGGTGTTGGGGGTACAGTGGGGAATGAGGCTGTGTGAATACCTATCACCTTCTTGTGGCTGAATAAGCTGCTTCCACCAGGGAAGAGGCTGAACCTCTCACAGGCATCTTGGAGACCCCAAAATGAAGTTACAGGGGAGACATCAACAAGGCCTCCGTACCAAAGAAACCAAACCCATTGCCATCGAGTCGAATTCCAACTCATAGTGACCCTATAGGACAGAGAAGAACTGCCCTACAGAGTCTCCAAGGAGCGCCTGGTGGATTTGAACTGCCGACCTTTTGGTTAGCAGCCATAGCACTTAACCACTACACCACTAGGGTTTCCAAGGCCTCCATGGACCCAGCCATTTAAATGACCTGATCTGATCCATTCCTTCAACACCTGGCTCAGAAAGGACCAAGTTTTTAGGGAATTAACTGCTCTCAGAATGAAATCCAAACTCCTTACCACGGCCTCCACTGGTCTCACTGATTGCCTCTGCCTACCTCCACCCCCAACTCCATGCTGCCCAAGCCACACTAGCTACTTTCTGTTCTTTGAACACACAAGTATGTTCCTGCCTCGGGGCCTATTCATTTGTTATTCTATCAGTCTGGAACATTCTGGCAACAAATCTTCCTGAGGCTGGCACTTCAACTGGCACCTTTTCAGAAAGGCCTTCTATGATGGACCAATTTAAAGTAGTACTGCCCTTCTAAATGTCCATCAGGAGATGAATGGATAAGCAAAATGTGGCACTGTATATACATACAATGGAATATTACTCAGCCATAATGAGAAATGAACTTTTGATACATGCCACAACATGGATGAACCTTGAAAAAATTGTGCTAAGTGAAGTAAATCAATCACAAAAGAACAAATATTGTACGACCCCACTTACATGAAGTATCTAGAACAAGCAAATGTATAGAGACCAAAGTTTCTTACTGGTTTACTAGGGGCAAGAAGAAGGGTGAAAGGGGGTGTCATTGTTTAGGAAGCAGTGAGTATCTGCTTATGGTGATGGAAAACTTAGCAAGGATATTGGTGATGGTTGTACAACATGATTAATGTAATTGGTGTCACTAAATTGTACATGTAAAAACACTGAATTGGCAAATGTTGAGTTATATGTTTTTTACAACAATAAAAAATAAATAAAAACATTCAGAAAGAATTTTAAAGTAGTACTGTCCTTATCTGAAAGTGGGCATGTATTTGTTTACTCGTTTCTTGTCTCTCTCCCAGAATTAGGATGCGAGCTCCCTGAGTGCTAGGACCTTGTCTGGCTTGTTCGCCATTGAATCTCCAAGGCCTAGAACATCAGAGGCATTCAAGAATACTTTGAGGGCTAAGAGAAGGAATGAGTTTCCCTGACTGTGAGGACCCTTCTGCTGTAGACATGGATTTCTCAATTGAGCTGAACTCTTTTGCATGTTTACAGGTATCTTTGCGATTGTATCAACTCAAGGGTAGCCATGTCTCGGGAAGAGACCACTCTTTGTGACCTGGCCTCTGTCCCCTCTCTAGCTTTACCTAGTGGGACCCCCCTGTTGACTCTCTTCTCACTGCCTGCACTGAACTACCCCCGAGTCTTCAGATGTGATAAGATGGCTCATGCCTTCCTGCCTTCACATAACCTGCTGTTACTTTTGTTCAGACATTCCTCTCCTCAGGACAGCCCCCGCCCACCTACTCCAACCTGAGTTAGGTACTTTTTCCATATATCCCCCCACGACAGTCAATCAGTCAGATTCTCAATGAGAATGTCTCGTTGCCTGAATCCCTTTTAGGCAGGACCAGGCCTTTTACCTGTTTCTCCAGTCCTAGCCTAGCATCAGACACACTGCAGGACCTCAGTAAGTGTTTACAGAATGAGCTTTAAAATTCTTGAAATCAGTATCCATAATAATAAATAAATACTAAAAATCACCTGTACACTATCCTAAGGTCTTTACTATGTTATATCATTTTAAGAAATTCATTTAAGAAGACCAGACTTAATGGTCTGACTGAGACTGGAGGGACCCCGGAAAGCATGGCCCCCGGATTCTCTATCAGCCCAGAACTAAAACAATTTCTGAGGCCAACTCTTCAGACAGCGATTGGACATAAAAGGATACTCATGAGGAGTGCGCCTCTTAGCTCAAGTAGATACAACAGACTAAACGGGCAGCTTCTGCCTGGAGGTGAGATGGGAAGGCAGAGAGGGTTAGGAGCTGGTTGAATGGGGGAATCAGGGGTGGAAAGGAGGAGTGTGCTGTCACAGTATGGGGAGAGCAATTAGGGTCACATAACAACAAATGTATAAATTTTTGTATGGGAGACTAACTTGAAATGTAAACTTCATTTAAACAATAAGTAAATAAATAAATAAATGAAATTCATTTTGCTTTATTGCAGATAAATAGCATTTGTATCATTGTCCATGCAGATGCTGAATGCCTTTATGATTCCAGAACTTGGGGGATGAGTCCCCGTTGCCCCTCCCTGGGCCTCACTTCTCTGAGTTTGCCTGTGTTAGTTCTTCTGACACTGCCCTCCGCTCCCCTTCTGTTCACAGACACCACCACTTATTGAATGACAAATATTTTCCCCACTGATTTGTAATGTCACCTCTGACATCAATCAAGTTTCCAGATGTGTGTGTGTTTTAGGGCTCCCTCTTCTTTTCCATTGTCCTGTCTGTCTTTCCCAGGCCCACGTGGTATCTCATAACCCTATGACGTAGATACTATTATTATCCCCATCTTACAAAGGAAGAAACAGGCTCAGAGAGGTTAAGTAACCTGCCCAAATCAGACAGCTCGGAAATGGAAGAGTCTCAGATTGAACATGGACGGTCACCCCATTTCTGCATGTAATACTGCCTCTCACACTTGCCCATGTCTCCTATTTCATTGTCTCTTCTCATGCCAGTGTTTTATAGAAACAGCGTTGTGTCTGGAGAGAAGGGTGTGAGGACGGACTTCTCAACTCCTTTCCCCATACCCATGGGACACTTACATTGTTGGCTTCTCGGACCAGCCTCTGTTCATTGTACAGAATGTGCCGGATGCAGCGGACCAGCTCCATGGGGCACCGGTCGTATGTGCTCTGAAAGAATCCAACAGCAGCCACCAGTGACCACCCTCTGCTCCAGCCATGCCATCCAGTGCCATGCCCACCCCTTCCTCTCCTCCAGCCCCCACCTCAGTCGTCCCCAGGAAGCCTCAGGAACTGTCACCAGACACCTCTCATCTCTCTTTGACTCGACTTCCCCTCCCTGGTCCTCATGTTTGATCTGCAGTGAATTAGAAACCCACAGCTTACAAAGCACTTCCAATCTACCAACCTCTTTGACTCTCACAGCATATTAACTCCATGACATAAGCAGAAATTATTACGCCCATTTCACAGATGGGAAAACTGATGCTCACAGAGGTTAAGTACTTGTCCAGAGGCAAACAAGTGAGCAAGTACTTGACTCAAGATTGAGACTTAGGGCATCTAATGCCAAAGTCAAGGTACTTTCCACTATATCCCTGCTCCTGGTTCCTAATTTGCTCCACCCATCCCAAGTTTCTCTTGTTTCCTCCTTCTTCTGGGATGGATTTTTTTAGTTCCCGGGGACCCTGCTGCTTGTATTTAAGAAAGGTTCTCTAAGAAATACAAGTGAGTTTCAGTAAATGCTTGATTACGATTACCACCCACACCCCTTTCCTACTTCCACAAAAACTCCTTCTCCTTCCTCTCCCCCCTTCCCCCATGTGAAGGAAAAACTACGTCCTACATCTGAACTCTCCATTCAAGGCCCTTTTATCCAGCTCTTGCCTTCAGGACAGCTCTGCTCATCTCCCACTCCAGTTCAGCAGCTCTCCCAGGTTTAAAAGAACCCCAAGAGGGGTGTCTGGTTGCCTTATTCTCTCATTTCCAGAATCTGCCAGTCTTCCTCCATCAGAGGAATCCTGACTTAGTCTACCTCCACCCCTTCTGCTGTCACTGAAGATACTTCCTTCACTTGATCTGTCCATCATGCCATTCCATCCATCTCCCTTCTCTTGGGACAAACACCCAACACCCCTTGCTTTGTGATATGGTAAAGGAATCTGACAGGTCTGATTTAGAAAGAGGGGGTGGGGGAAATTGAAGCACTGAAAAGTTGACGATAAGCTCAGGGTCACATTGTGAGTCAGTGGCCAGGCCAGGAAAAAAACCCAGGGGTTCTGATGCTGGAAGGAGAAGGCAGACAGACGCTGTCTCCCTACAGATGGCTAGTGCTCACACCCACCTGGAGCTGTGTGGCATAGTGCCCCAGCTTGATCTTCAGTAAAAACCCATCTTCCCCCACTTGGTGCTCGGCCTTCTTCTGCAGCTCCTGCACCAGGCCTTCCAGGAGCTGGGTGGCCTGGGCTCGGTCCTGGGGATTGTCCAGGTCGATGGCATCCCTTGGGGCAGGACAGGGGAAAGAAGCCTACAATGGCACCTGCTTGGGCAAGGAGGTGGGGCACCAAGAAAGGTATGGAAATCCCAGGCTTGTGACTAAGGGCACTCCAGGGCCCACAAGACTTGCTCCTGGTAGTTCCACAGGCATCAGAGTCTAGAAACATCCCCTCTCCCCTCTGCATTTCCCTGTTCCCCTTTCCCAGGGACACCACCCCTTTTGCGCAGTGAGGGACAGACTGGAGCAGAATCACACCAGTCTACAAAGAGAAGAGGCAGAGGCCAAGGGGCCTGGATGGCAGGGACTGCAGAGGAAGGTGCAGGGCTGGGGGCACCTACCACGGCTGGCTCTCAATCCACTGCGCCAAGTAGTGGCGGACCTCGATGGGGAAGTGCTGCCCATAGAGCACCTGCATCTGGCGCAGCGCATCTCCCTGCAGCTGCTGGGCCTGGATCCAGCCCGCCATGGCCGTTCACCTAGGGCAAGTGGAGGGCTGAAGAGACGTCTCCTCTGCAGAGGCTAAGAGTTGGGCCTCCCCGGGCCTGGCCGTGCCCACCCGTCCCTGGACCGCAGTCAGGCCAAGCCCCTCCCCTCCCACAGACACGCTTTCCTGTGCGGGAAGAAAGATGGTGGGGAGGGGAAGGCCGCCCTACCCTCCAAGAAGGAACCCGCTGAGGCTTGGGGAGGGGCTCTTGAGAGTCAGGTGCCCTCCCCCTCTTCCTCTCCCCTCACCCCACCGGGGCTTCCCCACGGGGGGACCGCCAGAAACTGAAAGAGAAACACGGCAGCGGGGCCCAGGCCCTCGGGAGGGCTCCAAGAATTTCCCCCCACCCTGCCTTGGACTCTGGGTCCCAATTTCTGGGAAAGGGGTAGTCCAGTCCCAGTTTGGGCAGCGCCAGCGACTACTCTCACTCGACGGCTGGGTCCCCGCGGGCATGTGGCTGGGGTTGTTAAGGAGAGACAGTTGGGCGGCCGGACGCTCCGCCCTCGGCTGCGCCCCCCAGCTGCGCCCCCCAGCTGCGCCCCAGCGTCACCGGTCTAGCCCGACAGCACCCCCTCCTCACTGCGGGCGAGGCCCCCTCCTTCCATCCTCTCCCCTCGTCCGCGGTGTGCGCTGCGCCGAAGCTCCTTCTCATTCAGGGACTGTTCCCTGCCTCCGCCCATCTGGCCCTGGGGTCCCAGGGCAGGGGACTCGGGCAGGAGGCGCGCGCCCTTCTCTGCGCGCGCCGCCCGGGACGCGCGGCCCGGGACGCGCTGCAGTGCCACCCACCCACCTGATCGGGCAGAGCCGTCTGGCGGCGAATCCGGCTCTCCGCCCGCTACTGTCGCTCCGGCCCGAGCTCCTGGCGGCGGCGGCGGTGGCGGCTGTTACTACAGGAAGGAGCGGAGAGCAGCGATTTCCTCCTCAAAGGTCAGCTGCCTCCGATAGACCATACACAGAGCGCGAGCTCTCCCCAACTCCCCCTCCCTGCTGCCTAGCTCCCTCCCCGCCTCCGCCCTCGGTTGCTGGCTTCCCGGCGAGTGCCCAGCGGCGGCTGTGGCCGGGCCCCGGGCGGCGAGGCGTGGCGGCGCCGCGCGTGGGGCAGCCCCGACGGCGGGGTCCCCCGGGAGTCCCAGCCAGCCCTTGCCTGCGGCTCCGCGGAAGCGTCCCGAAATGGTGGCGGGCAAGAGGCGCTGGAGTGGCCGCTGGGGGCTGAGGGGTAGGGTTGGAAAACCCCGGGCCCTGGAAATCCCAAACCAGGGCCTCAGTTTTCTCATCTGTGAAGAGGGAGGCGGGAAGGGCTGGACAAGCTAGAGATGCCTTCCAGCTCTGGCGTTTTGTCATTTTTTGAGTCTCTAGATTAAAAAAATAAGTGAGTGTGTGTATGTTTATGTGCGTTGGGGGCACAGCTTTTGTGAACTCAGAGGCAGAGCCTAGCAAGGGGAAGGACTGGGGATTCCAGAGAAGCAGAGTTCACCACCACCACCTCCTTCCATTACTCCCACCACCGTCGACTCATTCGCTGTAGTAGGAACGGGAAAGAACCTTAACATTCATGTTTCAAGACCCCCAAAATTTGCAGATAAGAAATTGAAGTCCAGACAGGGGAAGGGTCTTGCCCAGGGCCACACAGCAAGACCTAGTCCCCCCTGACTATGGTCCGTAAATTGTCCTGCCCCTCCACTCACTCCTGCCCAGTCACACTGAGACTGGTCCTTACCTTCAGAAAAGTCCGGGGAGGGATTGCCTTGAATCCCGCCCACAGTCCTTACAGCCTCCTGTAGACCCTGCTACAGCAGCAAACACCCTCCCAAGTACCTTGCCTGGCTCACAACCCCGCCCCCTCTGAGAGCCCCCCAACAGGACTCTCTGGGTTAGGTAAGGCCAAACTGGAAACCTTCCATTCCCTTTGCCCAGCTTTCCTCTCCTCTGGGCCTCCCCTCTGTCTGGCAGCTGGTATTGGCAGCACCAAGAGAGGGTCCAGCCTCGCTGCCCACTCACAGCACAGCTGGGCCAAGGCTGCATGTCCTCGGGGGCTCGTTCTCATCTGCCTCTCTCTCTCCCTCCCTCCCAAATCCTTTCCTAAATCTGCCCTTTTTTCTCCCTTCCCAGCTCTCCTGTGCCCCCTTACCCCTCCCTAACCCCATCATTATCTCCCCCATTTTCACTCTTTTTACTTCAAAGAAACACTGGAGTTTAAAGCTGAAGAAGGTGAAATGTCTGGGTCCCATCCCCACCCCCCTTTTTTTCCATGTTTGGCAAGGTCACAAGGAAGGGAATTGAAAACTCTAAGGGGATGCGTGGAGGACTGGGGAAACCTGACCCCACAGATGTTCCAGGGGAACCCTAGGGAGGAGAAATCACAATCCCCTCCTTCCTCCTTGCTCTGTGCAATGTGCAGGCAGGATCAGACACACGCAGCTGGTTGTCCTTCGTTTAGTGTCTCCCCCTCTTGCTTTGACTCTTTCTCTCTCTCTAGGCCTCTGTTTGGTTCTGTCTGGGCTTCTCTCTATTTCTTTGTGTCTCCGTTCTCACTTTGAGGAGCAGTGGGGAGGGAAAGGAGTTTTGGAGCCTTCCCAGGACCAGCAAAGGCCACCCAAGGGAGTGGGGGAGGGGAGGACATCAGAGTTGGGTTGGGGGCAGAGGTGACTGTGGTCATGGCTTGGGATAGCACAACTACCCGGAAATGTCAAATTTGGGGTTTCTTTCTGTTTTCAGTCCCCTGGTTTGGTCTCTGCTATTTCCCACCACAAAGCACCTGGTGGTTTTAGGGGCCCATGCTGTGAAGGAGAAAACTGAGGCCAGGGTTGGGGTTCAGGAAGATCAGAAAGTGCTTAGGGTCTGGACTAAGCTGGGGTCCCAGGCTGGCCTCCTGGCCCCTAACTGCCCCTCACCCCCAATTCTAAGTCACAACATTAGGTGGAAAGTAAGGAAGGATTAAAAAATCTTATGGGAATACTTCACCAAAAAAACCCGGGCCATATTTTATTAGGAATAATAACAGTCCCCAGCTTAGTCTGTACTTAGCACACTGTACACATATCCTGAACTGAATTATGGCATATTCATGTACAAACATGGTTGTACGCTTCCACTCAAGGAATCCTTACGACAGCCTTGGAGGTAGGCAGGGCCAGAATCATCCCCTTTGCTTAGCCCAGGAAAGAGGCTTGTCCAAAGCCATCTGACCAGTAAGTGCCGCCAGGATCCCTGTTGCCTGGCCCTGTGGTCAGGGTCCCAGTACAGCCATTCCATCTCCCCCGACCCCAGCACACACTTGCAGGATGAGGATGTCTCCTCTGGTGGGGCCAGCCCATAACTGTTGTGTGGTGCAGAGCATGGCACCTCCATCCCCATGCCAGCCCATGCCCCTACTCTGTTGAATAGAGGCCTTATGTGGAGGTAGGTTCAGTTTATGAAAGAAGAAAAGCATTGTCCCCAGTCCCCTGCCTTGCCACTGGGGACCAGGTTAGCCGTGAAGGCCCCTGCCGATGCCCCCATCCTGGGAAGAACAGATTGAGGTCACCTTGACCTGACCATCCCTGAGGATGGGGAGGTGGTACAGAGATGCCTTTGTTTCCTCTGCTCCAAGTCCTTTCTTTAAGGAAAGCTCCTGTTGCGTGGGAGGCAGGGGGAGGTGGGGTGAGGGTGAAGGGCCTTCCCAGGAAAGCTAGAGGCATTCCAGGAAGTAGCTCTGCGCCCAGGCAGAGCGGGGAGAGCTGAAACCTTTGGGCTTTTAAACATCCTGCTTCACCCCACCTTGTCTCTGCTTAGCTAGCCCACCTCCACTCCAGCCCCATCCCCAAGGCTCTTAGAAGTGGGGGCCACCGGCCCCTTCTCAGCATACACCCCACCTCTGAGACCATGTCCCTGTCTCTCCCCAGCCTCCTCACCCTGGGACCTCCCCATAGAAGTACTGCCCCCATTCTTGTCCATGAAGACAGATGGGAACCTAAGGAGGGTGTGTGTGTGCATGGTGAGGAATTTGGTGTGAATTTGGACAAGGGTGAGGAACTGCTGGGTCCCGGTGAAGCCTGGTCTGCCTTTTTGCCTCCATCCCCTGTCCACCATCACTCTTCAGGAAAGCGAATTTACAGTGAAGTCTCCAAGAGAAGGCAAGGCTATCCCGCCTGAGGCATATTGACTGTCTTCTGTTTCTGGGAAGAGTATGGCGAGGGGGGCAGGACTGGACAATGTGGGTGGAAGGGGGAAATCCTGCCTTCCTTTGCCCAGCTGCCCTGCCCAACTGCCTTCGGGGAGAGGGACGCAGCCCAGCTCTCTCTGGACAAGGAGGGGGGCTGCAGGGTCTGTGCTCCCCAGCAAGGGAGCAGGGGGGCTGCCCTTTGCACATGCTCCTCATAGAGGAAACGTAAGCCACTGGATGGAGCTGGGCCGCTGAGTGGGGCTAGGGCTGTCCTGAGCAGCCCAGGGTTAGGTCTGCTTCTCATCCGGGTTCATGATGACTATCAGGCCCCTCTTCCCGCTGAGCTAGTTTCTCCTTCTTCCAGCCCAACAAGAACTCTTTTGTGCCTCAGCCAGCCCTGTACCCAACCTCGAGCCCTCTGGGGGTTGTATGGGAGGGGGCTGTGCATCTCCCTCCCCGCCACCCCCTACAACTCTCCCATTTGCCTTTGTTATGGTTGGAGGGGGCTCCTCTCCCTGTCTGTTTCTCATTGTTCCTGGTTTCTTAAGCACGTAGACCCACCCACATCTTCCCTTCTTGCCGCCATGCTCCAAGCCTCATAAAGGGTGCCCTAGCCCCAGGAGCAAGTGGGCGATATAAAGTTGAAAAGAAGAACTGGCTAATGCCCCAGTCCCTCCTCTCTGGTTACTGGCTTGGTCTTCATTCCCTGCTGGGATCAGCGCCAAGCACAGGCCTTCCCTTCACTCCACGCTTCAGCCCTGTAGTTGCCTCAATACTCTGACCTCCCTCAACCCCAAGTCCTTGCCTCCCGTGTTCCACCTCCCTGGCATGCCATTCCTCCCTTGGCCACCTGGTGCAAACCTCCTCCTCTTTATAGAGTCAGTGTGGTAGAGAAGAAAACACAAAGGCTTTGGAGTCATAAAGTTCTGGTGCAAACTCTGGCTTCGCCTTGAACTAGCTCTGTGAACTTGGGCATGTGTGCCTGCCTCTCTGAGCCTCCTTTGTAAAAGGAGGACAAGAACTACCTCCTAGGGTTGCTGCTAAGACTCAGTCATAGTGCCCAGCACGTGGTAAGTGCTGAGGGACCTTGGCCGGTAAGAGTCAGGCATTTTCTCCTCTGTGCTTCTATAGCCCCTCAATCCTACCTGTATCACAGACCTCTTTTTATCACTCTAATTGCCAAGAGGGCTGTCTCTCACTGCTTGGTTCATAATAGAGGTTTTATAAATACTTGTTGGATTAATGACTATCCCTAAAACAGCACAGGGCTTCCCCCAGCTCTGATAGTCCAGGGGTCTCCTTGCACTAGTGCAGCTCCCAGTCCCGTTCTTACCCTGACCCATAGCACCCAGAAGGCTCTCTCCTCTGCCCGCCCTGGTCTCTGCCTGCTCTAGTCCTGCTGACCTGCTGTCCTGCCCATGGCACCGCAGTAGCTTCATCTTAGCTTGGCACTAGGTAGACTTTTGAGCTCTTCGCTTGCTCTGCATCAGCCCCACCCCTTCTGGATAGAGCAGCATTGCCCCAGGACTCTAGGTAGAGAGGGCACGGTGACCCTGTCCCCAGAGGCAGGTGAGGGCCCTTGGACTTTCCAGAGAGCCATCCCCTTAGCTCTGGCTGGAAGGGAGCCCAGACAGATGAGGCACACAGGAGCAACACGGGCAGTGTGTGAGAATCTCCAGGTGGCGAGTCCTGAAAAGACCTGCACAGCCATCTCGAACACCACCTCCCCTGGAAGCCCAGCTCCCTGCTGGCCCAGCAGCTGGCTGAGGCTGGGCTGAGGAAAAGAAACAGAAAATGCCCGTTTATCGAGTGCCTTCCACAAGCCAGGCACGGTGCTTTGCTGCTTTCACAAACACACTCTCTCTACTTTTCCTTTTAAATGTTTTCATTTTACGAATGCTTTCATGGAGCCCTGGTGGCCCAGTGGTTAAGGCCCTGGTGGCCCAGCGTTTAGCTGCTAACCAAAAGGTTGGCAGTTCAAATCCACCAGCCGCTCCTTGGAAACCCTGTGGGGAAGTTCTACTCTGTCGTATAGGGTCGCTATGAGTCAGAATCGACTTGACAGCAATGGGTGAATGCTTTCATAGGTAGTGGCCCAGTGGTTAAGCACTCGGCTGTTAACTAAAAGATCGGTGGTTTGAACCCACTAGCCGCTCCGCAGAGGAAAGATGTGGCAGTTTGCTTCCGTAAAGATTTACAGCCTTGGAAGCCCAAAGGGGCAGTTCTGGACTATCCTATAGGATCACTATGAGTCGGAATCAACTCAGTGGCAATGGGTTTTGGGTTTACATACACATGGTACAAAATTCAAAAGATAAGAAGGCTATACAATGAAAAGCTAGTCT